ACAAAAGCTTTCATTGAAACTAATTTCTTATGGCAAACAAAACCTCGAAAACATTACATCTTCATAATTTCTGCATTTTAATTTGAGCGTCATATTTTAAATTGTAATAAGTGAACAATGCAAAAAGGACCGAGGAGAAACAGCGCTTGTTAAGGCAAAGTATAAAACTCTGCAGAGGGAGGTTTGTGGTGGTGTAGGTACAGATCAAACATGTGAATTCAAACACACTCCAGTCGTTGCTATAAGAATGGCAGTGATGTATCAGGATCCAAAACCATGTTTCAGATCCTCTAAACAAAACTTGTGCTGCTTTACAAGTCACCATTGCAGATCGGAGAATATAAAAAGCAAAGACTGACAACTGTGTGGTCAGTGTAGGAAGCATCAGCATGAACAGAAAAGAACCACAAACTAAGCATTCCTCACATGAACCTTCTAATGATTTCACAACGAATACACACACTTGGCTAGAACAGCGTTTAAACTCATGCAATATTTGCCCCGGGGCCTCAAGCCGAAAATTTTATTTCACACTATGTTCTCTGTTTGCACAATGTGGAGAAGAATATAGAAGAAAATTAAACGAGAGGAAATCCTTCAGTTTCTTTAAACATAAACACCCAAGCACAAAAAGGTACTTATAATTGCAGGGTGCACAAAATGTGCCAAACAACTGCTGAGTCATGGACTGCCATCCGCTCGTCCATCTAGGAGGAGAAAACAGAGACACGAGCGAAATACAGTGTTTAACCTTTGGACAAAAATTCACATTTGAAATGCTGGACAGAAGAGTTTGAAAATAAAATCTTATTTTATTTTTTCTATTCAAGAGCAGATTTGCATTTTAATGGCAACATATTATACTTTTTCTGTTTTTCCCTTTTTCAACTTTTTTTTTTATGTATGTAAAAGTTCTGCAGAGTTAAAAAAGCTCCAGTAAAGTGAGCTCTCCTCTCACATCAAAAACACTGATCCTGAAATTGATGGGTAGTGCAGCTGATACTTCCTCGTCAGCATGATCACGTTTACATAACAGTGTAACATACAGTTTTACTGTTGCTGTCACTTTTATGAGTAATAATTGCATTCAGATCTGTGATCCATGGTAACCACTGATCACAACGGTGATGTCATGTGACATTTATTATGCAAATGTGGGCCATCATGATGTAAACTGAATTAGAAATGATGAACTTAGGTACGCTGAACCTGAATGAGGATTGTGTGCCTCCTTTAAGAAGATGCAATGGTTCCATTTTACACACTCACCGTGTTCAGCTTCTAGTTAGAATTCCTTTGCCTCACATTCTTGTCTTTGTGGTTGGCATTTGAGTTGCTCTTCCTGAAAAACACATTATAGCAGAAACATTAAGTTTTGAGCAGAAGACAAAATCAAAAGTGAGGATTACGATATGAAGCAGTAGAGGGTACTTACAGAGGAGCAGATCCTGAGTCGTCATCTAGAGTCGATCAGTGGGGGGAGGAAAACAAAAAGAAGAGTGAGTTGATAGCAGATTACACTTGTGGCTGGTGTGAGTAGTAGTACATGCCCCCTCCCCACAGATGATGGAAGCAAATGTCATACTCTCCTCTGCAACATGACTCCAATGAGGTTATGATCAAATCCAACTAAACATGAACTGAAGCATGCCCAGCTGTTGAGTTTCTGACAATGAATGATACAACAAAAACCTCATCTCTAATATCAAGCACACAATCCCTTTTGTGTGCTAAATGTCACCGTATGAATTACTTTGTTTCTTAATTTAATCTCAAGTAACATTTGAAAATGTATCACAGATGCTCATGCAAAACAAGCAGAGGACACCAAAGGAACACTGCAGAGGCCATATTGAGGTAAAAGACAGTAGGCATCTAAAAACTGGCAGAGCTAACACACAACCTGGCATGGACAGCGTCTGTTTCGACACCAGAGCAACAGCACGTAGTCACAAGGTAAGGCAGAGTAGCCTATATCTAGCCAAATGGTGAATGAGACAAATGGTAAATGGTAAACTGGTCTCAAGAAGAGGGTTGCCTATCATGTATCATGCATAAAGTACAAGATGCAGATGGCATGCAGACACAACGGTGAAACCTCTCACTTATTTTATGTCAAACCATTACACTACACCGAGGGCCTCATATGACTCTTTCATTGGCTCAAACACTTGGATTTGATTAAAAAAAAAAAAAAGAATGTTGCCAGGAAATGAGGTGGAGAGAAAACAGTTGAAGCTTGCTCTGTATACATTGCCGGGCCAGTGAAAGAGTGACCAAATCTTTGAGCACATTCCTCTTGTGGCTCTGGTGAATAAGGAAAGCAGTTCATTCAGGCTCCAAGAGCATTTCCCCTTGTCGTCATCTCAGCTCAACCACTTCAGTCTGACATGCAGTTTTGTTCACTTACCAAAATGCAAAATCAGCAGCGAACAGAGAAGTAAAAATGTAAATAATAAAAAAAATAATAGTGTCTATCACAGATTGCTTAAAACAGAGGCAAACACTAAACACTGATATATAAAATGTAAATAATGACAAAAACATAAGACAATAAGGGTTCATAGTGAATACATGCTACATTCCATACAGCTCCGCTTAAACAGCAATGCTTGGTTTTGATACTCTCCTTGCAACTTGAGGGCACATAATCTTCTCAGCTCAAAGCTCAGAGGAAAATAGTAACTAGCTACTCATGGTTTTATTTCCAACTAAAGTCATTATTAAATTGGCCAATAAGGTTTGGAATTTACCAACAACTGTGGCCTACTGGTAATGACAGTCTAGGTGACTGTTATGTTTTTATATGTATGGTAGTCAATTCAAGTTACAAGTAATGGAAAAGGATAATGACTTTTCATATGCTTCATGTGCAAATTAATGCCAGAGAATGTTCAACCTAGTTGCTTATGTTCTATTGTTTTTTCGTATTTTCCCTGAACACCGTGGCAACCAAACAGTAGCCAAATTGATCTGAACACAGCTTGACAGTTGAACACGTGTTGTGTTTTAAGCAGCATGGCATACGTACCATCGTTGACCTCATCTGGCTTTCTCCTCTTTTCATAAATAAAGATGATGGCCACCAAGATGATGACCTCAGCCACAATGCCAAGGAAGGGCCAGAGAGCGGCCAGGCGACTGCGAACACGCAAGTGGATCTTATCGCTGGCTGTGCCGAGTTCGTTGGTTCCAGAGCAGACGTAGTCTCCGATGTCGCTGTTGATGCTCAGGTCATTAATGGTCAGGGTGGTCTTGTTGGGGGTGCTCTTGATCTCGTATTTGTCGCTAGTGCCGTTGATGATTGGCTAAGGGTTCATAAAAAAGACGTATGCAATCATTCTGCATCATTTCATTTGAATTCATATAATACATTTTTTTTATTAAATTTTCATTTTAAATGCCATCACAATATTAATAATGATTGAAATGTTTAGGTTCATGTTCCTCTTAAAAATAATTAAAAGTGTATATTGATGTTATTGGAATAACAGAGCTTGAAGAGCCTGAGAGATACGTACTGTTTGCATGTCATCGACCTCTTTGAACCATGTCCAGTCAGTGGGCAGTGGATAGCCATGACTTTCACACACCATCACAGCTTCGCTGTTCTCATTGCCATGCTCAGAGTGTTTGTGGGTAGTAACATGAGGGAGTGCTGCAGCAAGGAGAGAAACACCTTATAATTAAAAATATGAAAGTTTATAAAAAGAATACTTGATTTTGCATCTTGGAGCAGAAGGTATAGTTCACAAAGAATGTGAAACCAAGCTGTAGATGTACTACTCCAAGTCTTAGTTTTTTTTCCTTACATCCCTCTAAGGCCTAACTTTAAATGAATTATCAAACTATCAGAGCTATGATTGTACATGTGATTCACAGTTTTCAGGTCCCCTTGGCACAGTCATTTTCCATAAAGTTCACACTGGGACAGAAATGAAATAAAGATTGGAAGAGATCAGAGCTCATATTCATTAGGTATCCTACAATTGAAATCTTTTTATGGAAACTGGTGGTTCCTTCTGTGGTTTTTATGATAATAAAATGTTATCCTTCAACAACATACTAGTATGAAAAAAGATTCTCAATACCACCATAAAAGAGAAGAGGTCCCAGAATACAGAATATATGATGTTGTGAACAAATGGATTTAACAGCCTGGACATCTAATAACATCAGAACCTACTGATAACAAAAACATTGGATATCACATGATGCTTCCTGGAGAGTGGCTGTCAACAATAAGATTTAGTCTGAATTATAAACTTTATTTATAAGTGACCCAATCTGTAACTATAAAAAACATTTGAGTGCTGTAACCATGGACATTTAAATGACCAAACTTACTTTTGACTTCAATTGTCTGCTTCACCTCAGGGTCAGTCATGAACACACATTCATATATCCCAGCTGAATGGTGGGTGATCTTTTCCAAACTATGCAAAGAAAAGAAATCAGGATTTAAGAACATTGGATGCGATTATATGTGCTGACCTGGCAACCTAGAGTGAAGGAGGTAGTAAATTATGACCACTTTGATGACAGTGCTTAGTTTACCACTTTACAGAGTAGAACATCTACAGTAGAACTTTGTTTATGCTCAAAGGCTGCGTGTAAAAATAAAGCTGCTTGTCCAAGCAACAAATATTTCATATTTTCCAGAGTAATAACAATGACACTTTTGTTTGGTGCTGTTGTCCCGTGCAGTCCGGCCTGCTCTCACTAATGGGGAATTAAGGTCAGGCCAAGTGAGCACACTGCTAGGGGCGCTTATCCCTGCTGCCAAGACTATCGGCAACCCTGCACATCTACACGGTCCACCTCTCTGCTAATCAAGAGCAGTGAATGCCTGAATTGTGCCCCTAGCTTTACAGCTGATAGAGGCAGCCATGGAGGAAGGGAGGAAAAGTAAGAGGGGAGGGACAAAACATGAAAAAGGCAAAAATGCGAGGGAGAGAACCTCAGAGGATAAAGCTGGAAATGAACAAAGCTTAACAATCAAAGTAAAGGACAAAAGAAGGGAGAAAAGAAAACAGCTGTATCTAGGCTCAGGGATTGTTAAATGTCTTCTACATCAATGATGCTCAGTGCATATTTCAGAATGTAGGTAATAAAGAAAAATAAAAGACAACTGGACTTTTCAATTTCTTGTAAGGTTAATTTACTCAGTAGTACAACTCGGAGGGCCACGTAACTGAATTATTCTGCTCTTCCAGTAAGATTATCCAAACACTTTGAAATAAGAACAGGTATATAACTATCAGAGGATGAGTGCCAGAGAATCTGCAGGGTAGATATGCCTGTATAAGACACTTGGATGGACCAGCTACTTACTTTAGGCTGGTGAATGGAGTGGAAGCGACGGACTTGGAATTATCCACGACTTTGCCGTTGTGTGTCCAGAAGGATCCCTTGATGGGAAGGCTAGACTCTGTCAAGTTGCAGCTGAGTGTTGCGCTGGTCTGATTGCTGACCTCAGAAGGTTCAGTAATGATGTTTGGGGCTTAAGGTAAACATAGAAAAAAAAAAAATTATTATACATTCTTGAATTGAAATGAAAACAAAAATCAGTTCATTGGCATTAATCTAAATTTGTGTAGGTTTAGGCACAAATGTTTGTTCTAATACACAGGATCTCAAATTGCTGAAATGTATTCATTTTTTTAGCTACAGTCTTGATTTCCATTTTTTCTCACAACACTCAACAGTTGCCTTCACAGAAATGATATAGATAGTCATGGACATACCATGTACACGACAGCCCTATGCTATGTGATTTGTGATGAGCAGATAAATGAAAGTCACCAGGTGGTACAGGGTTGTGACACAAATAATTTTTTGTTGAAGCAATTGTTGAGTGTTGTGTTGAAAACGCATTTTCCTTCCAAGTTAGAGAAAGAAAACACATTTAATATGACACGTGTTAGTTCTGCACTATAGCACACAGAACTTTCAAAAAAGTGAAAAAAGACAGGAGATCTGTCCCACCAACAGTAGAATGAAGGGAAGAAAAGGAGTTGTACTGAAAGCTAATAGATGGACTACAAAGGGTCATAGGGAAAAGATATGTTGAAAAGTTTCATGCAGAAGATGCAACAAGAGAGGGATGTAAGACTGTTGGCAGTTTCTCTGCCAATTTTATGATAAAATGTAAAAAGTATTATTGCTTCAATTGGGTAGAAGCGGACCAATTCTTCTAAAGTGACAAAAGTATAATACTGGACCACAAGACAGGAACACGTCCCATGGCCGAAAATAATAAGTTGCCATCTTCCATGTCTAAAGTTCAGTTATAAGTCACTTCGGTTATAAAACACAGGAAAGGTGTACAAGAATAAACAATAGGGGTATTGCCAGTGTTAGTATCAATTAAGGAAACTGGTAGAAAAATGAAAATCTACTAAGAACAATACTAGTCAAGTTATCTGACACCCCATTTGTATTTATTATTATTAAGCAGTCATGTTTTTTTTTCATTTAACATATGTTTTCCTTCAGTGGCCATTTGCAAATTTCCAGCCTTTATGACCAGTATTAATGCACCGAAACATAACATTGTGGTGCCTAAGCCATGAAACCAGGCAAAAAAAGCATCAGGTTTAAGATAAGTTGTGTCTCAGGGAATGGGGGGGGCTTAGCCACACTGTATGACCAGGTTCATTCTCTATTATGGGACAACTTCAGTGCTTTTGAGGAGAGGGAGAGTGGACACTGGGTGAAGCAGGATAGAGAGGGTACTGGTTTGGTAAGCATGGGAGTTTGATTGTAACAGGAGCTGAATGTCCAGGACTTAACTAATGAGGAGATGATAGCCAAACTACTTTGACTGGCATCTCCTCATGCTTCCTCTGCCACTCACTTTCAATCACAATAATGTTTGCCTGCGAGCGGATCCACTTGATTTTGGGCGTCTTCTTCAGTTCATTGCGGTCAGGGTCGTTGGAAGCGCGGCACTCGTATGTGCCCGAGTCTTCGAGGGTGAGGCTAGTGAGGTGAATGGTGCTTGTGGCATGTGCTATGTATGTGGCGTTAATTTGCACACGGTAGTCCCGTGCCCCATCAAAGAGCTGCGTGAAGGTCTCGTTGGGCTCTTCGCCCTGTACAAACCACCACTGCACCTCTGGGATGGGGTTCCCTATCACCTCGCAATACATCTCTGCACTGTCATTGATCAGCTTCATCTTAGACAGCGGAGACTTGATAAACCCAGCTGAGCGGTAACAGTCAGCCCAGCAGGCAAAGGTTAAGAGAAATGTTGAATTTGGTGGATTCAAAGAAAGACAGATGATATCATGGATTGGTGATGAAAGGCAGTGATGGAAGAAAGTCAAGCAAACAGGAAAAAAAAGAAAGAACAAGAAATAACGTTAATAACACACAAAATGAAATGAAAATATGAAAGAAAAGCACAGAAAAGGTTCAGATCAGAGCAACTTTGGGGAATTTTTCGATCACTTCTGCTACTCTGACCCATAAAGACACAACTAAAATAATGCAACAGGAAAGGTTATTAGGGGTGACTCAAGTCTACTTTAGAGCACAAAATAAAGGTATGACCCCAGGTTTACATTTTTACATGAACACCTGACCAATTAGCTGCAGCGGAATATATATATATATGTAAAAAATGTAATTATAACTGAATGTTATGCAGTTAAATTTTATGAATTAAACTTGAGGGTAGTTTCAAATTTTGTTTTTTCTGTGTTCTAAGTAAATAATAAACATCCAGACTTATTGAGACATCCCAATGGAACAGAATGAAACGGAACAAATAAAGCAGATGTGGTTGAAATGAAAAAGAAAATTCACATAAAATCAAATAAAAATGAAAGCTTCAGAACATGCATTTAGAATTTGGGGGCTGAGAAGCTTTTCTCTGCCGTGTCGAGGGTAACCCAACAGCAGTTTAGTGTGTCGAGCCAGGCTAACACATCATGAAGACTTATTTCTAAGGACATTCCTCCACTGATGGAGGCAATGCACACAACATCAATATATATGTGAGTCATCAAGTCACCCTCCACTGAGCAGCAAATGCAAACATTCATTATCAGCGATCAGGGCATTCACATGGAAATAAACAGACATGGCATGTATCTTAACACGATAAAAGATATTGTCACACTGCTTATATAAGTGCAATTGTGAGGGAAAACTTTGGCTGAGAAGCTCTTTTCAACATAGTAAGTTAGGCAATAAATAAAGCAGTTAAACAATTAAGACAGAACATCTGATTGTATAAATAGATTTTTTTTTTTTTTGAGCAGATCCAGACCAGGAGCAGATCTAGGAATTTACTGTGACTTCTGTGACATTGTGAGGTTTTCTTTTTTCCCCCCCCTCACCATATTTCCAGGGGCAAATTCATTTATCTTGATTTTTTTTTCCCCAAACAAGCACATTTAGGGAAGTGATATCTATGAGCGTGTGAAATTGGGAGTAGCTTGATGTAAGGGGACGATTGAGCCTGGGTGGGGTCTTGCATTCAACTGAATGCCATTCTAGTTTCCTTACTTTGCTTAAATGCTATGCTTTAATGCTCCCAACCATGCTGTGTATTTTGTGCTTTGCCTTAATATGCTTTTGGGTATGTGTTGACTAGGGATGTCACGATATGAAATTTTGGTGCCACGATTGTCCGAGGAAATATCACGGGTACACGGTTTTCACGATTATTAATGCTATAGAAGAAAAAACACACACAACAAGCAATATATAGCTAATAATATAGCTTATGGATTAAAATATGTATTATTATCATCAACTTTATCCAGTTTTAGTTTTAAATAGTGTAACGTTTATTTAAAAGTAATTTATGCAAACTATTTTATTTAGTTGCCTTATTGTGGAAGGTTAGTCACTAAATTTGTGTTTCCTGTCATGAGCTGTGTAACTGTGTGGGAGTTTTATTTTGAAAGGTCAGCAACAGACATTCCTCTGTTATGGGCATGACATATTGACTAGTTTTGAAAAACTAGACATGTTCTGGTTCAAGCCACATTCTTCATGTCCTTATTATACCATTAACTTTCAGTATCGGCTACATTTATAATGATTAATAAAACGTGACCTGCGAGAGATTTCACCGCACAGCTCGCGAGAGGCAGGACACCATAGTTAGATATGGTAGTTTTTACCATTCTTAAGGTTATGAAATCATGACATTATCAAATGGCAGTTATTGTAAAACTGGTTAATCCCGACTTTCCAGTACTGGAGTTTTCTACATTCACAGCAGGTTAGGTGATTTGTCTGGCAACTCAGTGGTGGCTGGGGTGTTATCCACAATGGTGGTTCAAGAGAAGAATAACATTCTCACACCACAGGACAAACTAGAGCTTACATACCCCGCTCCCATCTTAAAAACATACAAGACAAAGAAAAGACACCACCTTTTATATGTTTACTATTGAGATGTATTAAAGTTTGTGCTGTGTGTGATACATCTAAAAATCAATGTCAATCAAAATTGCCAACATCATGCGAATCACTTGTAAACAACAAGAGCCCTAAAGACTACACAACTTGTTTGTTTTGAAGTGAATACCCTGCCATTCCCAAGGGTCACCTTCACAGCACATGCTGTACAAAAGTTCAAAATTAAATATAGACTAAGCTCCAGTCCCTGCTGTGATTAGATGCAAACCAGATGAATCTTGACAACGCAAGTGACTGCTTATAACCCTCTGCTCCATAACAAAAGAATGGCCCCTTGAAAAGAACAAATGGCATTGCTACCACTCGGCTCTTGTATACAGTAAACATGTTAAACAGTGTAGAGAGATACACACAAAACCTGGAAATCAATGATTTTAAGGGATGGAAAAGATTAAATATCTTATGTACTGCAGAGATAGCACGAGATTTGTTTAGCACAAAAAGAAAGTAGCAAATAGCCCCAAACTGTGAATATATGCTTTATCTTCTTCATTGGTTTGTTTGCTGTTTCTATTCAAATAGCTGGTTGAAAATTAACAATAGCAGGAATGTAGTCTTTCAAAAGAAGGACATACAGAGGCCAAAACCTGAAACACTATAGTCATGAAGTACATAGAAATTTTCACACTGAACAGGAAAGGCTAATACAATGCCATGCCTTTTCCAATACAAAATGGATGCCAATAGAAACACTGGGAAATGTTTGTATTGTTCAGGCCATTTCATAGGGGTGTTTGTTTGTCTAGGAAAAAATCATACTCGTTGTTTTAATGATGTGTGAACTGACATTTTGAATGTGTCAAAAACAAGCCATGAGAGTTCACTGCATCACATAGGCCACTTGCATTCTGTCCTCATATAAATGACAACATGCCAATTTCCATATTGATTATCTTATTAAGGCTTTGATCGCTCTGTCTTAAGAGCAATATATGACAAAAGCTTGAGACTTGATTGGAAATTTAAAAGTGAATTGATTTTTGACAGTATTTTCTATAACTTGGATTTGGTGACCTATGGTACAATATGTTCAAAAGCAAATTCTTGCTTGTATACTGTTCAAACTGTTTGTATACCTGTTTATCCAGGTTCCAGTGTTCTTGCCCTGCAGTGAAATTGTAATGAGCAAACAATTTGCCTTAGATTCATGTCTTGTGTACATTTAGTAGAATTGTCTTTTCAAAATGTCATTATGGCCGCTTGCGTTAGACTTTGTGGAACATTTTACAAAGTAAATCCTTTCAAAGTGTTTTGCATTTACTTGCACTGTTGGTTTAGAGGTTTTTGTATCGTTTCACTTGGAAGCTAATTTTTAAGAATGCAAAAAATTGTCTGTTTATTGTTAGGGACAAAATCCCTGAAAATAGAGTTACAATAACTTGTCACAGTCAAATATATTGAATGTGACCTGATTTGTCTAATGTAATCATTCAGCTGTGGTGGATCAACACAGATTTGTTTCTTGTATTAGAAGGATGTCAACTGCCAATTGCAAAACGGCACTGTTGCTGGACTACTGACTTGACTGCTGGCTGTTATCATAAAAGGATCATTTAAGTGAGAGCAGGTTAAGCAGCTCAACTCTCAAAATAATCGTTAACGACTCAATGAATCTGTAATAAACACCATTTATCAAATTGAGAGAAAGATGCTGAGGTGCTAAACATATGTGGAAAACTGGCTTTTATTTCTTTTTTCCCCCCCCACACACAGAGAAGCCTTTTCTACCTGTCTGCCTCGAAACCTACTTTTCACATTGGAGTTGAGTTAGAGAAGCTGAAGCTCGAGGGAAATCTAATTTTACCCCTGATCTGCTCCAGAGCTGGTATCACCGATGCAGGAAAGATACCAGTGGCACGATGGCTCATTGTACGTGTTTGACTATTGTGCACATTCGCTTAGCATTCATAAATATCCAGAATGCCTGTACCAACTGTGTTACATTAAACTTACCCTATTTAACTTGTGTTTAATTTTTCAATGTGTAGTGCAACAACACATTATGTGATGAAATACTGAAATTAAGATCACTAAGTGTATGTATTTGTAAGTGTACATGTAAGCCTGTGCTGTAGGTGGCTCTTTTAAAGCAATTCCAACATTCTTTTGAAATAACAAACACACAATACATTTAAATCCTGACATGGATTCTTCAAGTCCTTAATATACTATTACAGCAACATGTGTGTAAATTCTGTACAATGTGGGCTTTTGTCGTATTGTTAAGACGTCAGAGCTCACTTGAGTGCTCAAGCTCAGGCACGACTACAACTGTAAGCTTTGTAATATGACATAAAATTATCATCAATTGCAATTCTGAAAGAAACAAATCAAGTCCTTAAAATGCCTTTATGATTACTTCTCCCAGGGACCTCTTAATTGTGACCAGTCAACGTTCCCTAAAGAAACAGCTGTTGCCACAGTGCTGATGAACACATCCTGTGACACAGCCACAGATCATTGATAACTGATCACTGTAACCAAGATGTATGAATGAATCTATGTATGGAATAAAATGAAGACTTTGGTCAGTAACATTTGAGTGTGGTGACCAAGGTCGATGAACCAACAGGGAGCAGAGGGGCAAGTGGTGGCTAATCTAATAATGTACTATACCACAGGGGCAGCTAGTACACATGATGTGACACACATGATGTGACACACATGACTGTGATGGGGCCTAGTGGTTCATTAAATTAAACAGATAATCGTTTCATCAGGAACAAGCCACCGACCATAACAAGGGTGCGAAGATAAATTCAGGCCCTTGTTATTAAATGCCGGCACTAAAAAAACGTTACGACAGTTTATTATTAACAGACAACCTTTCGTGACGTTACGCAACAGCAACTTCTGTCGGCACCAAACCACACAACAAGCAAACACGTCATTGAGCCAACACACGACCCATCACTTGTTAGCATTCGGCTAACGCCTCGAGAGATTTCATACGACGTACATTGAAGAATACCACATTCGACGTAAACGCTGTGTAACTGCAGTCACGCAACGGCCCAAGTCGCTCGTACAAGATCGCATATTAGCATAAAAATGTATCGCTAGCATCGACGCTAAGCCGGGCACAGCTAGCGTTAACACGGCTGTGTGTTGCTAACATTAACAGCCTTTTGTTTTATGTGAGCGGCAGCAAAAAACACACGACATAGTTTCGGGAAGCAGGAATTTGCATGTACATGTATAGTCAGGGCAAAGTCCACATCTTCGACCAACATGGCTGACACCGAATTCTTACCTGTGGACGCATTGGCTCGGCAGCAGCTGAGCAGAAGGGCACTGACAGCCCACAGGAGCTTCATGGCGGACGGGATTCACTGAGCCGTCGAATGTACAGAGATAATGTCAGATGGAGTGTGGCTGAGGCTTCTCCTCCTCGGGAACTCGCAGCGGCGATGAGGAAGCTGAATGTCCGGCGGAGCGGCTCGTCCTCTACTCGCTGCCTGACGCATACGCCCTGAGCAGCACGTATGCGTGACGCACACGTTTGGAGGGCGTGGTTATGTCGATCCTCCATATTAGAAATGGTTGATCTCCAAATATTCAGTGATCATGTTATTTTATAATTCTAATAAATATACTCTGTTTGATTGAGAAGTTATTCATGCTAAATTATATGGTCTAAAAAGGATATCAAGATAAACATTGTTATATGTATCAAGATAAATGTGATATTACTTTCCTGTTGGCCTTAGCAATTTATTTGCTACACTGGACTGTAACTCTAACTCATTTATTCTTATTAATCTATTCTTTTATTCTCCATATATCTCTTTTAAGAAATATTTTTAAATACTTCTTTTTTTATTGTCTTATGTTGCTTTTACAGTGTTGCCATGAATTGCCTTGTTGAAATGTGTTATACAAATAAACCTGACTTGCCTTTGCTGTGTCAACACAATCAGCAAAACATTCTGCCAATCACAGGGAGATCAATAATGTGTTAGACCTCCTCTCTGAGCAAAATGCAAAAGCAGCATATTGATGTATTAAAACTTTGTTTTATTGCTATGGATGAAATTTATAATGCAGTAATTATTGGAATTGTTTTATTACCCAGCCCTATCATGGTCTGACCAAATCAGAAACACAAATATAAGCAAGAACAAAAAGTGAAGAAAAAATAGTAATGTAACTTTTCACTGTTGTTGCACATTTGAGATGATCAAAAAACAGATATTTATATTGTACATTCACAGGCCTCATGTCAGCCGTATCCATATAATTTCTAATAGAAAAATACAGATCTGACAGCAAACAGCTGTATGTTGAAAGTCTGCACAAGGACCCTCACACACACTTCATGGCTTAATTGACTGGGTTAGAATAAATTCATAAATCTAGGGTAGAGTATTAAACTTAGCACATCTTCTCAGAAACTAAAGTTTTGTAGCACAAAAAAACAAAAACATTATTATTATCCTTATTATCCTAAATTCCCTGACAATTCAAGCAGGCCTGAATACATGCATGAGTATGTACTTGGGAGAAAAAAATCCATTACTGTCATGCTTTCTAATAGGATGGTGCTGCCAACCCATAAAATATATTTTTGTAAATTGAATGTTAGATTCACAATAAACAAAACAAATGTTTACATTGAAGCTGCAACACTCAAATCTACCCACCTGTACATTCACATTGCTCAGAGCTTAAGTCGAAGCTGAACATGCTGATATGCAGAGACTATTTAAAAAAGCTCATTATTTTTCAACCTGCACATATGAAAAGACACATTTCATACCAGCACAATGTTATATATAAATAATATAACATATTAAAAAATAAAGTATGAATATAGGCAGCATTTCCACATTGTAAAGTCAAATCACAAGCACAAGTCAAATGGTTCCATTTGTCTTTAAGCTTGACCGAGGACGGAAAGTCCAAAACAATGATCCCTCCAGAAAAAAAGGCCTTTGAACCTAAACCTCAGAGAAGAGGTACAATGTGGAGGAAATACACCCATATGGCTGAACAATTAAAAAGGAAGCTGGATTTATTGGCTTAATGATAACATTTAGCAGACAAGTCACCCATTAAAAGGACTTAATAGGCTGTTTTCTATCAGCATCCCTTTGGAACAAACATGACTTTGAAAAAACAAAACAATCTTAACACAGCATTATGCATTGAGATCATCTCCAGCAGTGTTCGCTGTGCTATTGTTCCCTGCTTGGTTGATCTAGGAGCCTGCAAAAATACACTAAAAAATAAATAATTTGCCTGGGAAATGCATAGCAGCACAGCTCATAGCTAATCTTTTTAAAAAAAACACCAATTTTATTTTTTATTTGGTATGAGGAACATGTTTGATTTATGGTCAATTTTAACATTATCTGTTGTACCAATGAAAAAAATTCAGGAGAACATGCCTCCTGCTGCTTGTTTTTTTTCCATCTCTCTCCCACTAATGACTAGTGGGAGGTTTCAGGTAGAACCTCTCTGTGGGTGGTTCTCTGCTTTAAAGAAAACAAACTTGTCCTCAGTTGTTGATCTTGAAAAATAATTCATTTTACCATGTCTCTAAATACATAAGACTTTCAAAGGTCATATAAACACACACTGAGAATATGTCAGTTGAATTTTGAGTGACACCACCCAAACATCTTTATTTTCATTTCCATTAATCTTTATTGTACACGAACATACTGCAAATCAATCATTTTCAACTGGCAACTTTAGAAAATATTTAATTTACCTTTAAGTTAAAATGCACAAATGTGCTGAAATGTAGAAGTGTGTCATCTGAAACTTGACCCTCAATTTAGCAGATAAAAGAAAAATATATGTTTGTAATTTTGTAATAATTAGCCACATCACTATCCAAACAGCACCAAAATACTGCAATTTGACATCTTTTCTAGTGCAACCAATGGTAATTGTGCTAAAACTGATTATAGAGAATTAAAATCAAACATATTTCCAAACCATGAAATAGCCTAAGTGCACACTTAAACAGTGCACTGCACTGCGGGTCATTTTATCTGTCAGAAATGAATACTAATTATAAAAGGAATAACTGTACATTTCCTTTTTGCTGAATTGGCAAAAGGGGTCATTGTAAATCATAGAAGTCTGGTTATTAAAAAAAAAAAAAAAAAGGACAGCAACTGTGTTGTTGTCCTGAGTCCTCTACCATTGGATTTCCTTTGCTTCCTTGTATGAGGTGATTCAGGCAGATCAAGCCCTTTTTAAGTCTCCACATCCTCCTTGACAGAAGCCACAATCCAGGGCCAATGCCCTTCCTCTGTTCAGATTCCTGATGAGTGTGGGAGCATCAGGTTGAGCCTCACGTATCACTTACCCCTGAGTCAGGCGAGAGTGCTACTGGTGAGATGCACTCAGGTCTCTACCCTAGGACAGGGAGAAACTGGAGGTCACTCCTCTGAAGTAAAGCAGCCTCTGAGCTATAAACAGCTCCTGGGTGATAAGGAGAAATGTCTCTCTAGGAGTTATCAGTGGAGTTGTCATTGCTAGTCGAACTTGAGGACTGAGGAGTAGAGGAGGACGAAGAGGAGGAGGAGGTAAAGTTCATCCCTGATAGTTCTGGAGGGTTAGTTGCTGTGTTCTGTCCACATAAGCTTTTCCTGCACACAGGACAAGTATCATGCTGGGAAAAAAGGGGAAACAATATAATTAGTCTCATTGCTGCTGTTTTTCCACTGCCACATAAGTCCACATAGCAACTAGTGAACATTAAAAGGTAAGACAATTAAATTGGTGGTGCTTAAATGATGAATACCTGTTCCAGCCAGGGTACTATGCAATCATTGTGAAACATGTGATTGCATGGGAGCTGCCTCACGTTTTCTCCAACACTGTAATCTTCTTTACATACTGGACATTCAAGCCCTGAAGCTGAAACGACAGAAAATGATGAATAGGATCTGTAGAGTGAAAAGTTAAAATAGTGACATTGAGGTAGGGCTGGCTGATCTGGGGAAAAAAATTATTACGCACATTTTTTCATATCAGTCGATGGTGATATAAATCACATCAGCGCCACTGCACTGAGGCGCATTACTCTGTGCAGGTCAACGAGTGACTCTGCTCCTCTGATGCTTTCCAAACACTCACACGTAGAACTCATCTTTATAAAAAACCTGCGGAATTCATGTTTCTGGGTAAACTGGGTGTCGATTCTTCTGCAAGTTAAAACACAGCGTATGCATCATAATCTGCAGGAAGAACTTCTGTCTGCAGGAGTGTGTGTGTCTGCTCGTCTCTGTCCCTCTTTACACATGATCTGATAATCACATTTATTTAGTTATTAATGGGATGGGTCAGATCAGACTCCGGTCACTTTAACCCCGATGTCCTGTCTGTGAGCGTCGTGTTATGCCTGGCATTGTGTAGCAGGTTGAAATATGTGTCTCACAAACTCTAGAGCAAATCAAACAAACACAAAGTAGACATCAGTCCTTTGTGTGTCTTGATAACTTGTGATCAGTGATGGTGTTTATTGTTACAGTGTAAAGTGATCGCAGGTCAGAGGGGGAGTGAGGAGGAAGCAGACTACGACAGAGACTCTGATATGGATGACTGATCTTTAATGTGCGTCTGTCCTGCTCCTGAAGCAGCGGTGTTATAATTATTCAGAAGTGGGACATCAAAAACATAAATCGGTTATGTTCTGTAACTGCATCAATGCTGAGTTGTCCACCTCTGTACAGGAGCTCAAACATTAGCACGTGTGCTGCTCATCCTACACTCTGTGCGTCAACCTTACCTGTAGCTCTATTCCAGCCACATAATTGGTTCAGCACAGTGCTATTCTCATTACCATTGGTTGTTGTCAAAACATTGATGGAATGAGTTCTAGCAATGTTATATTGACCATGTCTTATATTTCTAGCGAGGAAAAGTTATATCGCGATAATTATCTTTATCGTTTTATCGCCCAGCCCTACATTAATGTCTATCAATTTAATATAATAATGGCCAACATCCTGGTCTATAAAATTCAAAATTGGTTAAGAATTGAACTACAGTTTAATATACTATTCAGAATCAATCAAACACGTATTTTTCCACAGCAAGTTCACGAGTTTTCATGAGGTCAACATGAGAAACCTGTCCCTATACTAACATATACATCTGGGGTGGAGCGCTTCCAGCCTCCAGGCCGAAAAAGGCTCAGACAACAATTCATAAATACTTAAGAGCAACTCAGAAATACAAACAAATAATCAAGACAGCAATTTTTTCCACTGCAATAAAAGAAAATAACATTAAACAGTGGAGTATCATGCTTCACAGTGGTTCCTTGTGGCTGTGAAACTGTCAAGTTTTCCAAGACAAATGGACAAATTATTTTTTTGTGCTGCAGTAGAAGACAAACCAGTATTCCTAGTTTGCGGGAATATGTCCCTAGTCATCCAAAAGGACAGAATTACAGCTGCAGACAGCTCCACTAATATATTACCATCATCGGCAGGCAGACAGAACTTGCATAAAATAGAATAAAACTTGCACAAATAGAAT